TTTCCATAACCAGAAGATAACGCGGAAATCTATTACCAAATTTAGAATTTATGTATGCAGATTATTAGCCGGCTAAGCCGCCTAAGCCGGCTAAGGGTTGAACGGCTTAGCCGGCTAAGGTTTTTCTACCGGCTAACATCACTATTACTGGATTTGAATTGGATCTGAACTTGATCTCCAATTTATAGAGGTAACAACTGGTGAAGTTTCAGGAGCAATGAGTTCTGTATGACATTTCGTGTAACAACAAACTTCCACCATGCTTTATTATAGTTGCTTTTATATATTCAATTCAAAATAATTTTACAGTAATTAAGAGGGTGTATAAACAAAAAAAAATTTCAACTTTTACTTTTGTCAATAATTTTTACTTTCATCAAATCGCCAAAATGGTCCTTGGTGAGAAGCTACTTTTATTCAGTACTTTCGTCACGTCAATGACTAAAGTCAAAAGTTTCATCATACATCATTAGTACCAGTTAGTGTTGGTTGCCAAAACTATTTTGAGAGGCGAAAGTCAAAACTAAAATTAAAAGTTATATGTCAAAACTAAATCAAAAGTCAAAACTAGTTTCGACTTATGACGAAGCCTTTTGACTTTCGTACATTTGCAAAACCCTTTAGTTAGTTTTGGAACCCAACACTAGTGCTAATATTACGTAAAATGATAGAGTGCATCAAAAGATTGACAAATACAATAAGTTAATGTTTAAAAAATTGCATTATTTGAAAAACAGCTTCAACGTCAAAAAAATTTATCATCATCAAGATTTAATGATAACTTCTTTACGTGACAATATTGACTACTTATGTGCGTTTCTAATTCAGGAACTAAAGACAATTCGGATGCGTTTTTATTTTTTTCATTTTATGAGATGTAATAATAAAGAAGAAATATTAAGAATTATTTTGATTGTTAATTTGTAGGCAGTAGAAAGAAAATACGATTAAGATGAAACTATGAATTACTATTTTTTGATCGGATTTACTGTATATTGTGATTAAAATTTTAGTAATAGTAATGAAAGTTGAAATAATTTGGATAAGAAAAGGTACTGTTTCAAATTGAGTTAATTAGAAAAGTGGAACTTTAAATTAAAAATTAATAATAATTGTTTTTCAATTATTGAATGAAAAGCTTATAGTCACTAGGGTTTTGGCAAATAAATTTTTTATAACAATCCTTTAGAAATAGGTTTAATTATTCAATGAATAATTTTTAAACAGTCACAGATAAGGTTGTGGGTGAAACTCCTCCAGAAATCAATCGACAGAGTTTCGCATTTGGGGTTTTGTTAATCGGAAGAGTTTTGACAAGGTATATACTAATTGTTCATTAGAGTTTCGAGAGAGTTTTGACAGTCACTAAGAGGTTTCGGCAAGCAACCTTAGTCACAGAATACTTAACGTTTGTTTTTTTTTGATATTCATCATTTTAAATATTCTGAGAACCAAAGTCATCACATTCTTTTCTAATAGTTTATTCTAGTATATTCTTTAATTGTCACAGTTTTATAAGAAGTTTCCATTTAATAGCAGTATCCATTTTTAGAATAGTTTGGCTTTCAGAATTAATTTGCTAAAAAGTAAGTATTTAGAGATTGTCGTTTTAGCTTTAGATCCTGAGCTGGCAAATAGGATAATATTATAAAAAATATAATATTTTTATTTATGATATTAATAAATGTAAACTAATAACAAAAAGAAAGGTACATGAAATAAAATACAAGTTAAAAGTAAATATTTAAAAATAAACTAAATAATTCAATTTTTTTATTTATCTCTCAAACTGCTGCAGCAACTGAATTCTTCTTTGCTTCTTTTTCATTTGCCTTTTTCTCTGCAGCATTAATTACGATTCCTCCTATTACAAATGTTACAGCATCCGTGGTCAAATAAACTTTTGTCCAGATAGGATCAAGATTTAATAACAGCATTTCAATCACATCACCCGCAAATACAATTAACAATAGCGACTGATAGAACTGCCCATTTACGATATTTTTTACTACTTTTTCTCCTTCATTGTTTGCTCCTGCTCCATTGCTTTGTTCTGGTTTTCCACTATTAACAATAACGTAAATGCATTTTATAGTGGCACAAAGAACCATTAATAGAGTCGGTATAACAATGAATAAGTATCTGTCAGATTCATAGTAGCCGCGAGAAGCATATATCTCCAAAAATATAAATTGTAATGCATCAAGAGAAAAGGCTAGAACAAGACTCGTACAGAACACCGACCTAGGATGTTTGAGCCAAAGGTTATGTATTATACATTCAAAAATCCCCTTGTAACGATTGATGGTGTAAATTGATAAGTAGACTGCAATACTTGTGTATATAATGGTTGCAAGCCCCACTGCTAATATTAAGATGACATAGACGATGAATAAATGGTCGTCATTATCGTGGTATTTTTTAATACAAAACCAGGTAAAAAAGCCGGCTTTTAAGAAAATAAAACTAAAAGCGAGAATTGTGTACAACCACATTTCTGTAGCAACAATCTCTGACTCTTTGATACTGAAATAAGCGAGAAGCAAAAGAGCGATCGATGTCGTGTAATCGAAAACGACATCAGTCTCGTCATCTGTCGAGATTGGCATAGCCACCACCTTTGTTATCATCGTCAAAAAATTTATTAAAAAAGAGATTATAAAAAGTTTCATTGGAAAATGTGATCGAAAAAACTTCGATTGTACCATTTTTTTTGGTAGAGTGTGTAATGAGCAAATTTGTAATTTGTATATTTGATATAAAAGTAGGGATAGGGTGGTTTAAAAAAAACCGTTTTTTGGTTTAGGTTCGGTTCGGTTTTTGAACAGGTTCGAATCGGTTTTTTTGTGAAACTAAATTCTCTAATGTAATATGAAATATTATTGATTTTAATTTTTATGTGTCGAAGATGTAAAATGATTTCTATCCTTTTTATATTAGATGAAAAGTGATAACAAGATGAGTCATGATTATTTTTAGAACTCGTCTTTTTTCCAATTCAATTCGCCTCTTATCATTTTGGTTTTTTTCATTATTTTAACGCGCAGTATAAACCAAACTACTTATTAAAGATGAGCAGCAATATTACTATTATACAATTTAAAATGATTTATTTTTTTGAATTGAGAATGTGAAAGCAACGCAATAAAAAATAACTACTTCTATTACTATGTTACATTCAATTCGACTCTTCTATTTTGTTATAGTTTTTTCTATTTTAAACAACATATCGTTACTATAATTGTTATATATAGAAACCTAAGATGGTTATTTTTGAATGAAAATTATTTATTTTTTTCAAGCTCATTTAGGAAACATATTAATATGTATACAAATGATATAATCGTATATTTATCCGGAAAAAATTTCCGCAAATTTCGTGAAACCTCAAAATATATGCAAATTATGTCATTTTGTTGTATGTGAAACATTATGGAATGGGGTGAAATTCTGATTGGCTAATTTGAATTTCACATATTGCGAATCCACATAATTTCATTGTCACGTATACACAACAATTTCACAAAAAAATATCGCACCTAATTCGGACATTTTTGAAAGGCAAATCCTTTATCCATGCCATGATGCCATGGAATAACAATGGATAAAGTTTCCGCCTTTCGGGTGTGTGATGTTGATCTTCGGGATCTTGTCCGAATAACCTACTTTATGATCGACAAACTTATGGGTATAATATGGGGCATGCTGCAACAAAACCAGACAAAGTGAACATTTGTATTACCAAGAATTTCAGGGATCAAAATTTAGTCATTTGTAATGTGATCATAATTAACAGTTTTAATAATATTATTATACTCATGTGATAAAAATTCATCTTTTATAATTACTATTAGAGGATTCAAAGAAATGTTAATTGACGATCCGTCTATGAATCAGTGAGTGTTATATAGTGATCGGCGGGGGAAAATTGACCAAAAAAACACTAATCGGTAACCTTTTATAAAAAAAAGTTACTATACTTTTGTCTTGCAAGATAAATTT